AGCACTCTACCACTGAGCTACCTTCCCAGTGCCCTTCCTGGAAGATTTCTAACATACTCCTCAGGAATTAGCTTTATTGTTAATAACTTCCATTTGGTAACTTTCACCATCCATAACTACCCTAGGGCAACTGCATTTCCATACTTGGAAGACTAAACGACCAACAAGGAACCAACGACTTGGCAATCTCCACCCTCTCACCTTCTTTTTCCAAAGCCTGCTTTCACCTCATTTCAGTGAAGTAGACTTGCTCTAGTGAATCCCACTTCCGATACCAAGACCACTTCTGGAACCCCCCCCCCAAGACCATTCTCAGGTTTAACAGTTCACAAAGAATTCAAAGAGTTCAGCAAAGTAGTTAATACTCATAATTATTGTTGATTACAGAGAAAGAGTACATATTGAAACAGCAATAGAAAAAAGTGCTTCCAGTTGTCATCTGTCCTTAGAACTTCCAGCATGATGTGTGACCACATGTGCAGAAAATCACCAACAAGGGAAGGCCATGGGAAATTTAGCATCCAGCATGGCTCATCACATAGGTATTATAGTTGACTGCCCATGCAGCTGACCTTAGTCTGGTCCCTCTAGAGGTGGTGATGCTATATGGTCCAAGGTTCCAACATAAATAACATTACTGGCATCTATTATCTAATGTGGGCCATGACCTCCATGTAAGCACAAACCTTTTTACTAAGTAGGCTACTCCAAGGACTTAGAGGAAACCTGCCAAAGCTCAGACCATCATTAGGAATGAATATGATTTAGTCTATCAGTCTTGCTGAAGGAATCTTTTGAACTGTATGACACCTACTGCCATATGGAATTGTCCCCCTCCCCCACCAGTGCTCCCTCCCACTGCCCTGTTGGGCTTGCTACCATAGGTCAAAGCTGTTTACTCTCTTCTCAAGTCAGATGCTGTCACCTATTAGTGCTGTCTTATTCAGAAGGTTATGATTCTGTGTTTCCCTTGCCCCGCTGTTTTGTAAGGGAGGCCACAGCTAGTGAATATCTGACACAGGTGCACGATGGGAACACACAAGTGTTCTATGGTACAATTCAACTTCTAAAGCTATCTGAAGTCAGGCTGAGACTAGACTTCAGGCAAGAGCATATCCTACCTTAACAATTTATTTTTCCTACCCTGTCCTCTCCCTCAACTTCCTAGACATTTTCTTCTGGGAGAACTCTCAGTAAATCATGTATGACCCAATGTCAGTCACAATGCATAGTACGTAGTTAGTTCTTAACACATAAGTGCTGAATGAAAAATAAACCCTGAGGATATTATTGCAAATAGAACTCCCTTATAAATTCACTCAGAGCACGCAGCACATAGCAGACCCTTAAGGAGTATTCATCATAGTCTATTACCCAATCCTTTTGCAATGTGTTGTTGCTTCATGTTAGTATAATCAACAGGATATGACCCTCAAATCTGTATGTCCAGCAATGCAATCTTGTAGGTACAGATTGAGAAGTGGTCAGGTTTATGAGACTGGCAACCTCAAACCTGAACAATGATGTACTCATTTACAAAGACAGGTGGAACTTATACAAGAAAAAACAGAGAGAGAGAGAGACAAGATCCTCTGTATACCTTATAGGCAGATGTCTACCAAAAGTCCAGCTGCTGAATATGCAAAAAGAACCAGAGCAAGGGGATAGAGAGGGGGAGGATCCCAGAGGCCCTGATTTATCACTACCAAAGATGGTCAAGGCCACTAGGCCAGAATCTTTAGACAGGAACTGCTGGAGGCAGGCTAATGGCCCCTTCTACCTCCCCTTCTCTTTGCTAGGAGGTCACTGTCTTCCCTGCCCCCACCCCAGCAGTATTCCTTCAAAGTGATAAAACTAGGACAAAATTAAGTTTTCTTGATTATGACTCATTTCCACCCTGGTTTCTCAAGTCATTAAATAAGTACTGGCATCTCTGTAGCCACCACCCATTGACAGCTTATCAGTGGATATATATTTATTTTTATTTGGGGAGGTCATTTATAGTTCTTTCCTTTTTTTCCTTTCTTTTCTATTTACTTTTTGTCTTTTATAGCTCTTTGGGGTTTGGGGGTTTTTGTTTTTGTTTTGTTTTTGGTTTTTTGGACATGTGGCCTGACCTCTGGGCCTGGGTGCTGTCCCTCAGCTCTTCAGCTCAAGGCTAGCACTCTACCACGTGAGATACAGCACCACTTCTGGCTTTTTCTGCTTATGTGGTACTGAGGAATTGAACCCAGGGCCTTATGCATTCAAGGCAAGCACTCTACCACTGATCCACCTTCCCAGCCCTATATTTATTTATGTGCACAATCTCTTCCTTACCTGTTCATTTTTTCTTAATTTCATTCTCAAAGGGAAACTGCTAGTTTTCTTGTTAAATAGTTGTACAGAGAGGTTTCAATTCCTGTCAGGTTATGAGCACAATGCATTTTTTTTTTTTTGGTCGGTCGTGGGGCTTGAACTCTGGGCTGGGTGCTGTCCCTCAGCTCTTCAGCTCAAGGCGAGCGCTCTACCACTTGAGCTACAGCGCCACTTCCGGTTTTCTGGTGGTTTATTGGAGATAGGAGTCTCACGGTCTCTCCTGCCCGGGCTGGCTTTGAACCTCGATCCTCAGATCTCAGCCTCCTGAATAGCTAGGATTACAGGCGTGAGCCACCAGTGCCCGGCGACTTACTGAATTTTCATGTGTCCATGTAACCACCACCCAGCTTTAAGATACAGAAATTTTCCATCATCTCAGAAAGCTCCATATGCCCCTTCTTAATACCTCCCCTCGCCGAAAGGTAACCACTACTCCCATCTCTATCAGGTGAATTTACTGTTCTTGAAACCATGTAACAAAATCACATGAAATGCACTCCTGTCTGGCTTCTTTCCAGTTTACTTCTGTGAGGTTTATCCATGACATTGCATCATTTGGTAATTTGTTACCTCTTACCTAGTATACAGCATTCCCTTAGATGTAAAGAATATGTATACATTCTGTTGATGGGCATTTGAACTGTTTTCAGATTTTGTCTATTATGAATAAAGCATCTGAATGTTTTTGCTCAAGTCTTTAGGTGGATAGATGTACTTGTTTCTCTTGCAGTGGAATTATTAGGTTATCAAATATGTAAATGTTGAACTCTAGTAAATGCTACTCATTGGTCTTCAAAGTGGATATATCAATTTGCAGTCATTTTACACTGTCTCCCCCCCCCCCGCCGCATGTCCATTTAACTTGGAGTTTCTGCTCTCTCCTGATCTCATCAGTCTTGCTATTTGCATTTCTGTTTCTCATTTTCACTTTTGTTTGAGTAATTTCTGAGAAAAGGAAGAAATACCAAGTTTATCATCTTCAAACAGCACAAACTCCTTATTAAACCAAGAAAGCAAATTTAGATCACATCCAAAAAGTAAGTAACAACCACATTATCACTAAATTTTTAATGTGATCTTTTTAGTAGAGATAGAAAGGGGATTTGACAAAATTCAGTATCCATTCCATTCCATTGTTTTCCAAACAGTAGAAATAGAAGGAAAACAGGAAATAGTCTCAACTTGATAGAAGGCATCCATGTAAAACTTCCAGCTGACATCATACTTAACAAAGATAAAAACCAAATACTTTACCCCTGATATTAGAAACACCTATGTTCATCTTCACCATTTCTATTCAATGTTTCACTTACAGGAGGCCTAGCTGCTGCAGTAACATGAGAAATATAAATTAAAGAGACAAAAGTGAAGGTTTCCAACTTTGGTTGGCAGACAACAGGATGTTGGAAATTATTATTATTTTTTTTTTTTTTGTCAGTCGTGGGGCTTGAACTCTGGGCCTGGGCGCTGTCCCTCAGCTCTTCAGCTCAAGGCGAGCGCTCTACCACTTGAGCTACAGCGCCACTTCCGGTTTTCTGGTGGTTTATTGGAGATAGGAGTCTCACGGTCTTTCCTGCCCGGGCTGGCTTCGAACCGAGATCCTCAGATCTCAGCCTCCTGAGTAGCTAGGATTACAGGCGTGAGCCACCAGCGCCCGGCTGCACAATGCATCTTGATCCATGCCACCTCTTCCATTGTTCTCCCCAGTTTTCTCCTCTCACACCCCTAACTTCAAGTTTCATAGTTCAAGGTAGCTACTACTTACCCCTTCTCATTTTCTTTTAAATGAGTGTGTGGGGTCTTACTATGTAACCCAACTTAACCTCAAATTTACAATCCTCCTGCCTCAGCATCCTGAGTTTTGGGATAATAGGTTTATGCCATTATGCCTGGCTTGCCAGCCCATTTCTGAAACCCCAGCATCTATGCCACCTTCCACAAATTGTAGTGGTTAGAAATAGCTTCCTCCCAACCCACCCTCATTTAGCAGGTCACATGGGAGCCCAATTCCAGACAGCTTCCATTTGCAGAGCTTTTCTCTGTATTCCTTGAGAATAGTCATGAAAAGAAAAGCCCTTCACCCCCAAGGGCCTTCTAAATATCACCTTACTCAGGGAACAGATTGAATGTTCCCAGACAGATGGCTCTGGAAACTTGAAGAAAACAATAACCCATCCTTTTTTTTTTGGACAGCTCCCCCAAGGAGTGATGGCATTCCTGACAACCCGGAGTCCCATGGGAAAGCCCAGGGGCAGAGAATTCACAAAGGCACGAGGATGAGAATTAGTTCTCAGAAATCACCAACTTCCTGGCTAAAACCCACTTGCTTCTCCAAAATCACTGACTTAATGCAGGTCTTACGGAGACCCACCTGCTTATGAGGCTGGATAGCTGCAGCCCCTCCCTAGCCTGGGCCCCACCTGGAACTAGATCACAATGCCCCCTGCTGCTCAGTCCTAGAATGGCTGACCCAGGTGAAAGGAGGTGAGGAGGGGGGTGGGATGGATAGGGGAAGGGGGGAATTCCCAAGGATCCCGGATCCCCACTCCAAGCTCACCTTTGAGTGTAACCCAGGGATCCTTTCCCCTCCCCCTTTTCCTCCCTTCCAATACTAGCTGTTCTGACCACTTCTGTTTTCCTCTATGACCCTGTTCTGCTTACCCAGGCCCAAACTCCTTGCAGATCCAATCCCATCCCCTTCCAGGGGTCTGGGTGCTGGGGAGGGATCAAGTTGGCCAGTGTGCTCATGTGCGTCCTACTGGGATCCTAGCTGGGCCCAGCTCCTGGACAGTGTCCTTGGCCTGGGGGCACTAGGGCTGACAGTTGGAGCCATCTTTTCCATGACTGGTCCAGCCTTGTTGCTGCTGCTGCTCCTGATCAGCTTCCTCACCTTTGACCTTCTCCACAGGTAAGTGAGCAACTAACAATTGGGCATTGTAAGCAGGGAGTGCTAGTGGCTAACTTTCCTGAGCCCAACTGATACCCTCTCTCCCCACAGGCCTACCACAAGTCCCACTCTGCCAGGACACAGACTTCTCCCAAGGGGCCAAGGTCAGGGAGCTGGTGAGGGTCCAGAACAGGAGGTGGCTCCCTTCTTCCCAACAGAAGCAGTCCCAAGACAACTCAGCCTCCAAGATGCACTGCTTCTTCTGCTCCTGAGCCTGGGGCTGCTCCTGGGAGTCCGGGGTATGCCCTTGGCTCTACTAGGCCTGGCTTTCTGCCTCCACCCTTGGGTTTGAGAGCCCACTCCAAACACTGAGTGCTCTTCAAAAAAAAACAAAAAACAAACAAACAAAAAATAAATTTAAAAAAAACCACCGGTCTTCTTACTTTGTTAGGCCTCCTTGGCCATCCTGAGCTAGACAGAGGGTTTGGGACACGCCTTTTTATTCTCAGCCTGAACTTCAGGAGACCTCTGGCCTCATAATGTAGAGTGGAGAGTCAGGACTAAGGCTTGAGGCAGCAACAGAAGGCAGGGGATGAGGAGGGAGATCAAGATGGGATGTGCCAGCTAACTCAGGGCCTACAGTTTGAGGGTAACCATTCTGGCCTCCTCTGTGGTTCTGGAGAATGAGAGTCCATAGAAAAAGACTTGGAACTGACATCAGCCATCAGGGAAGGGACAGAGATGGAGGCTTCCAGACACGAGCAGGAGAAACTGCATCTACAGAGCTCACCAAGCTCCTCTGCCAGCCTGGAAGGCCCATGGAGAGGAACTCAGGTGAGCCTCACACCATACAAGGGGTTCCTCTCTTGACTGGACCCCACCCCCGTCCGGGTCATAATGGGACTCCCCCAGGGATGGTGGGGAGTGGGTGAGAGTGAAAGGCTTGGATCTGGCTGCCAGGCTATCCTGGGTGCAGCAGGAAACAATATGACTTAGATGGCTCTTCCCCGAGGTAAGTCTCAGGTCCCTGCTCAAGGCCCCACCCTGCCCCACCCTCCTAACCCCCTATTCCAACACCTGCCCTGACTTCCCCAGCATCTCCAGCTGCTCCTGCAGCTGGCCTGGACCTGTCCCTAGGTGCACCACCAGCCATGATGCAGCAGTCTCGACTGGAGACGGATACCATCGGAGCCGGCGAGGGGCCACAGCCAGCAGCGTCCTGGTCAACCTGGGTCACCAGGCAGGGCTGGATGCGCTGGTGGGCATACCACATACCTCCCAGCTGGGTCCAGTGGTGGACAACATCAGGCTGGCGGCAACCACTGCAGCGCATGCTATGGGGTGTGGAGGGGACACTCTACCTGCTGCTGGCACTGATGCTATGCCATGCGCTGTTCACTACTGGCTCCCACCTGCTGAGCTCCCTGTGGCCTGTGGTGGCCGCAGTGTGGCGTCACCTGCTGCCAGCTGTGCTGCTGCTGATACTCAGTGCTCTGCCTGCCCTGCTCTTCACAGCCTCTTTCCTGCTGCTCTTCTCCACACTGCTGAGCCTCGTGGGCCTCCTCACCTCCATGACTCACCCAGGCTATGCTCAGGACCTGGTCCAATAGAAGGGCCACCCCCTCCGGCTGCCTGTGTCTGTTGAGCCCTTGACCTAGGGCATGAACATCAGGGAAGAGGGAGGGCAGTGGCGTCTCAGCAGGCCCCACAGCCCTCATCCAGAGCAGAAGCCTGGCCTCTTGGCACCTACCTCAAACCAATGCTGCAGGTACCTAAAAGGAAGAGAGGTCAGAGGCTTTGAGAAGAGGGGACAGGACAGATGGCTTAGCTGGGGACAGAGCTTGTCCATACCACCGAGAGCACCTATGTGGATGTGCTAACACCGCTGGGGGCTCCCATGGAAACACAGCTTCTCAGTCCTCTCAGCTTCAGACTTGTGGAGAGCTTCTTCCTCAGTGCCCCTTGTTGCCTTCCTTTCAGCCAATCCTCTCTTCTACTTCCAGGAGGACCGTAGGCTCTAGAAAGGGCCCCCACTGACAGAAAGCTAGCTGCTGGGTGAGGGATGGCCAGAAGGCCCAGCCATCTCCCCTTATCCATCTGCCCAGGGCACCCCTCCTTACCTGCCTCTGTCCACACCCCAGATGTGGGAAGTGGGTCAACCAGAGAAGTGAGTTTCACTTTTTTGTTGTTTTTGTTGTTGTTGTTGCTGGCGGCTGTTGTTGTTTGGTGCTAAAGATTGAACCCACGGCCTGGCATATGCTAAGTGCATGCCTCCACCTCTAAGCTATACTCCCAGTTTCTTCTGTTATGGAAAAACGAGTCTCATTTCAGCCATCCATATAATGGATGGCCTTGGCCAGTTTATTCTTTTGAGCCTCATTGTTAAATGGATCCCACTGCTGTTCCAGGGCATACTAAAATTGTAAAGGTTTTTTTTTTTTTTTTTTAAAAAAAAACAACCTGTGAAGATGTTTTGAGCTCTAAAAACATGCTGTAGACTCCAAAGGTCTTTTGGCTCATAAGCCAGATGAGAGAGCAAGGAGCTTCACGAGGCTTTCTGAGAAATGTTCTGTCATGGGTAGAATTTAAGGCCTTTAATGATAAACAGAGCATGGATGGATGGATGGTGTGGACAAGATGTAAAACATCATGTGCCATGAAATCTCAAAATGAGCAGATGTGGAACTCTTCTGATTGTCAAATGCTTGGGGCTGGGGCACGGTGCCAGGACATCCTGGCACAGCTGTATGAGAAGCGAAGAGCATAATAACTCAGGGATGTCCAGAACCGATCCAGCAGAGCTGCTCGTAACTAAGAAAGGCATTTCTTGACAAAGTATCATCCCCTGATGCCCCAGATTCTGGCGAGTCACACACTGCTGACCCCTCCCCTCAACAACAACAACAAAAAACAGTGATCACTTATAAGCTTAGCTATAAGATAGACATGATAGACAATTCACTCCCAGCTAGGATCAACTCACTCGGCCCCATCTACTCACACCTATGTGTAGCTAGCCCTAAAATTCTGACTCCTCAAGCTCTAGACCCAAGATCCTTCTCTCCTGCCACCTAAGTATTTGGACCCAGCAGACCAGCCCCTGAAATGGTGGTTAATTTTGTCACCGATTAGATATCTTCAGCATTTTAGGCTTGACACACAAGGACTGACTGGTCCTTCCTTCCTGTTTCTTTTAGTATGACCTGGTATTGAGGACTAGAAAGGATAGGGAAATGGCTTAGTGTAAATTCCAGGCTTTTTTTTTTTGCCAGTCCTAGGGCTGGAACTCAAGAGTCTGGGTGCTGTCCCTGCGCTTCACTTGCTCAAGACTAGCACTCTACCACTTGAACCACAGTATCACTTCTGGCTTTTTCTGTGTATGTGGTACTGAGGAATTGAACCCAGGGCTTCATGCATGCTAGGTAAGCACTCTACCACTGAGCCACCTTCCCAGCCCAGGACTGGTTTCAAATCCTAGCACTGTTGTTTCTAGCTCCATGGCCTTGGTGGAAATTGCTAAACCTTCCTGAACTTCATTTTCTTCTGGGGAAAGACAAAGGCAAGGACGTCTGTCTCAGAATTTCTATGGGATTCTTGGTTTAAAATGTCTCATCTAGCTCTTATTGCCACAACGTCTAGCAATGCTGTAACAATCTCCTTTTGGAGATGAGAAGTCAGCTGGAGGGTAACTACCTGCCAGTGGCCAGGCCATGGAGTGCCACTCCACACTAGTGGGTGGTAAGGCTATGGGAGAAGATCCTGTGAGGTTTCCCATCCTCAAAGGCTCCTATCAGAAATGAAGCTCAGGCTTAGGGATGTCAGGAGTCAAGCCAATCAAGATGTCCACTATTCACTAGAGTACTCTGAGGTGGGAATAGAGATCAGGATGTGTGGCCTGGATCCTTCGTTTATTTGGCTCTGTATTCCTGGCCAGGGATATCATTCTGGAGTCTGAGGGCCATTCTAATAAAAAGAAAAGAGATCGTAATTCATGAATAATGGGATAGGATGTGGGTAGATGCAAGGACTTTTCCCCATATAAACATCCATTTTCTACATGCCTGTCCTGTGGTGTAGCTATACCACAGGATATAGCTAGACTGGAAAGCAGAGAGGGAAAATGTTACCAGATCATGTCTACTCAATCCTTCTGACCCAGCAATTCAAAACTCTCCCAGAGATCTATAAGCACCTTGGTCCACAAAATATACCCAGCAATATATGCCCTCCATCAGAGCTGGTTAACAATGCAGGCATTGGCCTAGTCCTAGACCTGCCAAACTACAGCCTTCATTTTAACAAGATTCCCAGGTAGTACACATTCATACTAAAGTTTGAGACATGCTGCATAAGGAGAGATGTTTGAAGATATTATTGATGGGGGTAGGGAAATGGAAAGGGTAAAGCACAGAGACACGGGTATCATGGAGAGAAGGCAGAAATTAGAAGACGCAGAAGCTACATGGATCAGTCTTAAAATCTTAGCACTTACTGACAAGCCATGAGAAGAAAATACAATTCATTTTGCATAAGTTTAAAATGCATGCCAGCAAAACAAGTTTTGTGGTGGTGGTTGTTGTTTTCCTTTCCAAGAGCACCTGAAAACAAGCGATACACAGAATGGTGTGGACAACTAGGGGGAAGCAAATGGAAGTGAGAGAGCAAAAGAGAATAAAGCAAAAGACCTTTGCCGAGAAGAATATGATCATATAATTCCTGACATTCCTTTTAATATGGACCAAGTCATTCATTCAGAGTGCAAAGGCTTAAAAAAAAAAAAGCCTGGGAGAAATGGACATGCTAGAATGAAGGAGTTCTAAATTTTTCTGGTTTGGGCCAAGAAAGGAAGAGCTGTCTCATTGGTTTGCATAACTGGGACCATCAGATGGGATATCTTTGCCTGTGCTCCCCCACCTCATCCCCACAACTTTAGCTGATGGGGTTGGTGTGAGAAGCAGGGGATCCAGAGACTGTTTCCTGTTTGGCCTCTCCAGAAAATCAGGTCAGCTACAGGAGGTAGCTCAGTGGTGCAGCGCTTGTCTAGTATGAGCTAGCTATGAGCAAGGACCTGGGTTCTATCCACAACAAATCAAATTAGGCAGAGCATAAGGAAGCTGAGCAGTGGGTCAGCTACTAGTGGCCTTTTGTTTGAACAGAGCAGATCCACAGTTGCAGAAACAAATCTTAGTGGAATATCTAAAAGATGGGAAGGGGGGAGATGATACCCAGTAGGACTTCCCTGTACCCCCTCCTCTCTCCCCTTCCCCCCAAAAAACTGGGAGCAAGGAGCTGAACATGCATGCTGCCCAGAGGGTACTTCTTGAGATGCAGCGTTAATGGCCACCCCAAAGG